AATCACTGCCATGGGTTTAGCATCAGTTGGATTTTCTCGAATGAATTTATCAAGTAAGAGTAAAATGCTTTGCAGAGGGCTTCTTTAATCAAATTCGATAATCACCGACAGATGGTTATATATAGTCAAAGAGGCTTGTGAGTTCTTTCTTGTAGAGTAATTTAGTTACATTGAAAAAAAAGTGCGTGCCAATGTTGAACTTTGCTATTCAGAGACTCGTAACTACGTAATTATGAAGAAACATACTCCAACAATATAAGATTCTTTTCCGATCGTTAGTTTCTGAAATCTAGTTCATGTTGATAGTTGGTCTTGATGACATTGGTTGCTTGATAGTCTCTTGAAAACAGGACTTAAGGCCGTCTGTACTTATGTTCAAGGATTAAAATATAAATGCCATACAAAATCATTTTTAATTTCATCTCAAAAGTCAAATCTCTATACAGAGTTGAAATTTTTCTTAGCACATAAAATCGAATACTTCGAATTCAGTGCATTATAGAAATCCTACAGTTTTCAAATCATGCCTATTATGTCCTATTTTGAAAACATTTCCTCAATGTTCACATATTTTTCGAAAAAACATGACGATTCTGATGAAAAATGTTAGAAACATGATTGAACAAGCTACTGTGTACTTTGATGTCAGTATGAACAGTGGTGTCTGTAACACAATGTGTAGATGAGAGCAACTATAAACAAAAATTATGTGAGTTATTCCTTTTCATTGATATGATAAAAGCGATGAGATGTAATTAGTTTCGTTTACTTTGTAAAGGTTTTCGCAGAAAATAAGTCATATGTTTTATGACAGAGGATCTAAAAAGAGAGTGCTAATGTCTATAGATAGAAAATTGAACTCCATCCTTTCCTAGTAAACAGACATACACAGGCAAAACAACAAAATAATTTTCGGTGTATTTGATAAAACTTTTTGTAGAGTACGTTTTATGCACTGTCACATAAAATAACATTTTACTTTGTTACACATCATTCTACTGACAAATTAGAGCTTAAGCAAAAACTTTTTATCGCTTAGCTGTCTACTGTTCGCCTTTCACATACCCATGGCTGATATCATAGAAAAGATGCATCAATGATCATGAAAGACATCTGGCTAAACTCATCGCTCTATTAACCATGCAGTTTGAAGACAATTGGAAAGTGCTTCTTCTTCGTGATAGATCGCGACAGATTCCTCAGTATGGCTGTTTTCTCTTCATGAACCATGACTACCGTACTCACGAGACGAGTATCTACTATAGAACTACCATGAAACATGATAGAATTGAAAATGGTTATTCTTTACCGTTCGTTCACAGTCACTGTAATAGGTTAGAATCGACGATATCATTTATATTGTATAAAACAAAAAAAAATATACGTGTTTTTCAAATATTTAATCGGTTTAGCTTTGTTTATTATAATATAAACATATACATATGAAAAAGTTGGAAAATAAATCGAGCACATTTTGTTTTAGATAATATGACGCGATGTTTCACTTATAGATCAGATGGCATGCATGAGAAGACAACCTGAAATTTGCAGCATTTTTACAGAGTTCATCAGATTTTGGAAGATATCTCTTAGCAAAAATCAGTGTATAATGTATATATACGTACAGGTTACTTATAGAAAATCCTGTATATTCCTATAGAAAGAAGCCATGAAAACAGATCAAAACTTATTTTTTTTAATTTTTAATTTTGATTAGGCACTTCATCGGTTGTCATCTCGAGATACTCGTCAGCATTGACTAACGTTAGTCAAAACTATTGCCGTCAAGGCCTTTGTTCACAAGAAATATATTATTATCAAGCTTTTCGCATCAGCATCTCTACAGCTGGATGGTATAATATCACAAGCAATAGTAGCATGGATACATATGGTTATATTTACAGTAACAGTTTCAATTCGTCTGTTCCATCGGCAAATTTAATAGCGTCAAATAATGATGACGGTGGCAATGGGCAATTGCTTTTTACAATTTTTATTGACACTTTAACAAATTACATTTTAGTTGTAACAACGTACTGGCCAAGTACAACAGGAACATTTTCAATCATTGCATCTGGTATAGGGTCTGTTAGCTTCAATGGTGCATAGAAAAAGTGACACTATGGCTTGAAGTTTCAATTCGCATTTATCAACTTTTTTTTACAATCAAATCAGAATTCTAATCACTCATCATTAATTATTAACACTTTTACTCAATATCTCTTGCTCTGCTTTGCTAAAAATCTTTTTTTTAAATTTCTATCATCAGCTTTCTGTACGCATTGTCTCATATAGGTTCTTCGTAAATGTGAAACTTTATCTACATTGCATTTCTCAATAAATGCTGAACTAAAAGAAGTGTTTCTATCATTCTCATTTGTATTGCCATATTTTAATAGTCGGTTGATTGGACGGTAATATTGATATTGCGACTACTTCTCGTGATGCCTTTGGAATCAACGAAAAACACAGGTTACAATAAAAGCACAAAAGAAAGACATGGTATGTGAGTATGTCTACTTGAATTTCCTCAATATTAATCTGAAGAACAAAAGCCATGTAAAAGTCGAAGACCAAAGAGAACAAAAATTATGAAGACAAAACAGTCAATGCACAAAAATAAGTCAAACATTCAGAAATCCGATGTCAGTAGATCCACAAAAACAAATATTGAGATGCTCTAAAAAGAAAAATATGTAAGATACGATAGGCAATGTTTCAAACACTATGTTGTAGACAAACAAATAACGTTCATCGGTTTCCAATTCAATTGGTCCTAGACTGAAAGATGATAGAATTTAATGTTAGGGTCAACAGTTTATAGAGTGATTCGAAGGAGATTTATATTATGGTCTAGTCTCTGTGTTTCACATGTCTATGGTACATTCAGTGAGCAGTTAGGCTGATACAGCTGATCAACTTGTTTCAAAATCTATATTTCTATGGTTCTAAACGCTAGAAAACTTTTTTAATCCAAAAATGAATATTCCTAAAATGAACAATGACATAGTCCCTAATTCTAAAGACTCCTCATGTCGTATGGAAGAGTAACATGTCAACCACTCTATCATAAAATATGAAGAGCCAGGCACCCCTGTCTGATCTAAGTTTCTCATCAGACACTTCAAAGCTGACTCACAGACGTGTCATGCAAAATTCAGCATTCCGAAGTCGAAAAATTTATAATACAAGACTTAGACAAAATGATGACGACATTGTCTTAATATCCATTATACTGCCGTGAAAAAATCCTCACAGTTGTGTCCTAAGGATCAAATACTCAATAGTTGTAAAATCATCAATATCACAATCCAAATCCTAAAAAAGTACGTGCCCAAAACTCACGACACTGTAGTCTGAGAAGCAATAATGCTGTGCTTCCAAAAATCCATAAAAGCCTGTTGACTTCTCTGTTGCATCCAATAAACAGATGTTCAAATTTCAGATTATTTTGTCCAACAGACATAAGAAACAGCGTGTCCGAAAAAAAATGAAGCGCCAAAATCGATGGAAACGAAAATAAATCCAAATCAATACAAGATCGAACATGGTTTGAAAACCGTATTTCTGATAGGCAGACAGACACAGTGGAAAAGAATTACCAATTACAGAGGCTAGCATTTCAATCTAAAAAATATTTCAGATCAGGTAGACAGTGTTTCCAAACAATAAGTTGTAGACAAATAGAACAACATGAATTAAATGCCGTTTCCAGACTCATCATTGTTGAATTTATGAAATTGACAAATTATGTAAAAATCTGAAAGGATTAGGTCTCCAATTGCGAGAAATTCAAAGTAGCATGTCAACATGTTTGTTTATGTCTATGACTTCTTAGAGATCTTTCCAGCATTTTTGTTACGATCAGTGACAGATATCAATAGCTTCATTGGAAAGACAAAGAGTAGCATTATTTCGACCTGTGAATTTGAAATATGTGCACAATTCAAAATTTCATTAAAAATTCAAGATTTCGAAGTTCAAAAATATAAAAAATATATTGACATGTCTATAACTAATGCCAATTTGGAAAATGAAAGTCCATGAGTGTTTTTTCAATAAATTTTGATAAAAGCAAGAGAGAGAGCTCCTATTTTCACTATTGGAACGAGAAGCTGAAGACGCATCGAATCATACATCACAAGCTTTTTATCTGACTTTTCTAAGCTTTTCCATTGAGCTTTTCCAAAACCAGCGTGCGCATGAAGTGATTACAGTGAATTTCGAATTATCAGGTGTTTGCTAGAACAATCAATTAAAGACCTATAAAACTGGACAAGGCTCAGGTTGTTAGCTTTAATCGTCCAAGAGTGATAGGCATTCTACTGAAAACTCTAAGCCGATTTTCTAGCAATTTCTGTGTAAAAAGAAATCAATTTTTTTGCGCTTTCCTTTCTGATAAAAACTATGTATTCACTACTTTTTTTAGAAAATTGAATAAAGAAGCTTGATAAAACACATTTGAAAATCTTGTAACATACGGTTCCATGCATTTTCATTTCCTTTTTCGAACAGTGAAAACTGCAACTCTCTATCTTACTTCTATCACAAGTTAGTCGAAAAAACATCCATCAGCCTTCTTTTTTGGAATGGACATTAGTTACCTGAATTTCAACCATATTTTGTTGACATTTGGTGTAAGATAATAGATATATAGAGCTGCATGGTGACTCTTTCGCTGTTATGTAGGGGTACGCAGTTATTTCCTACCATTTTCTTATGTGAATGACATAGAACATGAACGAATATTCGAGTATGATCTAAGATGGGTGAATTATGATTAAAATTTGTTTGTCATATATGACAATAATATTTTGAGCAAAACATAATACTAATTTAACTATGAATCTTTCCTTTGAAAGTAAGGAATACTCTTGGTTTTATTACATATAGAACAGCTATTTTATACTCACATTTTCGTTTAACTAGCCATCTTATTTGAACGATTCTAGTGACTTTTCTTCTGTTTTTTGAACTAAATGTATTATAGACAAGATTTACTATTGAATTAGAATAATATCACATGATGGCATTGCCTTCTTACTGTCAAGTGTAGCAATGAAAACTGGCGGCCATGAACTCGAATCGACATGAGTTCTCTTAGGACCTGTAAACCAATGACGAGCAGAAACAATCCAATAGATTGTAGCAATCGATGCTACACCACCGATGATCACAATAGCATAGTTCATATTATCTCTTGTTACAGGATAATGCGCAGGGAAGAACATAAATATTGAAGTGATAAAAAGCCACACAACTGAAATGATAGCAATGGGTACACCGAATCGACCTAGATTGATTTCACCAACAGGAAAACTCTTTCGAGCAACTGTACATCGAAAGAAAATAGGCATGACATAAGAGATTTGGAAGCCTAGTGTAGCAATCGAGATAATGGCAGCAAAAGTAGCGGTTGATGCTAGTTGGAGTAAAAGAAGAAGACAATCAATAATTACAACAAAAGTTATTATGACCAATGGTGTTTTAGTTGGTGGAAAAATCCAACGAAGAGAAGACGAAAATGGAAATACACCATCACGTGCCATAGCAAAGCTAAAACAAGAAAAATCATCAAGTTAGAAAAGACAAATTTTCAGTGTAATCCTTCCGAGATTAAAATGTGAAACACAATGGGTATGTTCCATTTCTTAAGCGCAGCCCTAGTTGCATCGATCATAATGATGCTGAGAAGTTCTCCCGACTTTGTATGTCTGTCACGTTCTGCGTAGAGGAACGCTAGAACTTTCTTACTATCTACTTCAATATTCATTCCTAATTGCGCTTCACGAAAATACAAATAGTATACGATACCCAATCCGACTGGTCACTGTAATTGATGACATGCCGGCAGAATACACATTAAGTACAAGAAGAATTGTGAGTGCAAGTGCACCTCGATGAGGCACAGCCAATTGGTAGGTTGCGACTGCCAAGTTGACCGCAGAATGGTCACCATTATTGTTTTCCATAAATGAAGCCATGTTCGGAATTGCGAAGAGCAGAGCGAGTAAGTAAGCAGCGCCAACAATAGCACCGATTATGCAAGTACCTATGATCCCTTTGGGAGCTGCAAAAAAATACATCAAATTTGAAGCTTTCCTCAAGATTACAAGGAGTATTTTTCATCCGTTCAAACAATATTCGACTTCAATTTCTTGATATTTTTTATACAGATATATCAAATTATTCTCTTAGGTATCCACTTACCTGCACGACTAGCGTGTTGAGTCTCTTCAGCCAAATGAGCACCGGCTATAAAATTTAGAAATAATACTAAAGTAACAATATATGCTATCCAATAAATATTACCATCGTAACCGGCCAATGAAAACAATGTCGAAAGAATACCAATACAACACATGTATACAAATGGAAATCCAGTACCATTGTATGTGGATGTAAAAACATCACGAGCAGAAGCTCTTTCAGGCGTCATAACCAAGAGAACAATAACAACAACAATTACAGAAGTTATTTGAAAGACAGCAGCAAGATTATTGAGCCATCCTTGTTGATCGATACGGAATACATTTTGAATGGCCCATACAACGGTAATTCCTATACTAATCCCCACTTGCGCTCCTACGCTCAATGATTCTTTACCATCAAGAACAAGAGCAGCATTAACAATGGTAGCGAAACCGGATGACATTGCAGCATTAGCTTTAATATACCAAAGATAGAGAGTACTCAGAATATTGTTTTCCTGCTTTACCTGCTGCATTGCCAATAAAATTGAACCAACCACAAATGAATGAAGCCAATGGAGCATGCTGAGAAGATACTAGTTGACCAGCCCTAGAATAGAAATATAGTCTCATTTTCAAAAGTTGCCAGCAACTCTGTATTATGTACCAATAATAGACAGAACCAGCACTTGGATATACAGAGCAAATTTCAGCCAATGACATACCGACAAGAATTGTAAAAGTAGATCCAATGAGCCAAGACCACACGGCCATAGCCGATCCGCCAGTGTTTAATGCATAGGTGAAACTGATTGAAATGGATGTGAACACGTTAACAGCAGTGAAACAGAAGGCAAATGACATGAATGGCGAAAAACCACGATAGAGCTCTTGCTCATAGCCCATTTCATGTTCACGACGGATGTCGGACTCGTCTTCGTCCTCTTGTGCTATAATAGCTTTGTCAGCCATGACAATGGCGACAGGCGAAGGGACAGGACAAGCCATTTCTTTTTTTGGAAATCTGAAATCAAAATTCTCCAGGCAAAGTTTTCTATTCCAGAACTCGATCATTCTCGCAACATGCATGGCAAGAATTTATTTCATTCATCAACGTATCTCTTTCTGTGGCACTTATAAATAAATATTTGTTTCAAGCAAATTTAAGTTCTTGATGCCTTAAACCTTTAAACTACTTTTGTTTCTATTCAATTTGTATACAACGGATATTAGCTCAGATGCAATATCTAGTAAATTAACTTCATGTGTTTATGATATTAAAGAAGGCGCCGCCTCTTGCTTAAATCTAAAAAAATTGAGCAATTGAAAACCCTTCATGAAATTCGCAGATGTCACTATTATTAATGTATGAAAAGTCTTTAAAGTCAACTGTGAATAACACAGGAAAATTCGCACTATGCAACTGTTACTAATGGTGAAACTTTTCTTATTGCGTTGTGCATTTATCGAAGAATCTATTATTTTACTCTATTTTGCTTTTTCTAGATGTCTATGCACTGTTGTGAGCCACTATTTACTCTTCGACTCTTTCTTTTTTGAAGCAAAGTGCTGCTAAAATCTTCACTGGTAACAAAATTTAAAATCTTCTAACGTATCTCCATAGTGTATAAGTAATTGAAATAACTTTGGATTTAGAATAAAAAGTGATATCTCGTGAGTGTATCGCTTCTAGTTCTTCAAGAACTTGTTTGAAGGTTCTGATTTTTGTTGCAAACTTGCAAACCCTTTTCTACATCTCAGAGTATAGGGTGGACGAAACTACAGAAAAATATCAAGACGAGCTTATGAGTGCTTCATATTGCCCTGCGCAAGTTTTGTCCTCTTGGCAATCGTCTTCAACTGATATAAGATGTATATCATTATTTGTGACAAACGTCTGCTGCAATAAAGACTCGAAAACAAGAACATATTTCGATGAAACTGCTCATCTGCACGGCATTGTTGACTTCCATCTTAGTGAAGTATTAGAAGATGACTCGAATGCACTAGAGTGATAATAATCTTAGACATTGGTGTAGTGCACTCGACTACTGTAGCCATTCTAGTGATTATAGAGTAACCAGTGGATCATAGGTAACGGGTCGTTCTCCTTTTTCATGCCTGAGAAACGACTAACAGCTGAAACACGTCATTCTTACATCGGTCGATAGAGCACTATTCATTCCACAGAATAGTTTATTTTGGTTTTCAAATAAACCATACAAATATTATGGGTCGACAAAAAATTAAAATACTGCAAAACTAGTCAATCATCCGATTGCAAAGTCCTATTTTCTACAGACATGTTTTGGTTTTGTAAGGATGTACTCATCAAGACCGATACTAAAAGCAGAGTAATTATTTAGCATTAGTAGATAGAGAATATGATGCTCTATGCTTGCATCATTCTTTCAAGGCTCTGGTTTTTGTCATTCAGCAACATCAAGCTTAGAACGAATACAAGGTGCTATCTTCTGAATACACTTGCGAACTTCATTCTGTTCAAAATTCAGAGTTTCTCAAAGGAACTTTGGTTGTTATGCTGTCAGATGTCGAGTTCAATCTGAAGAGAATAGTATGATTGTAAAACTGAGAAGCAAAAACTTTTAGGTTTTCTAATAAAAAATAAACGATGAATTAGTTCTATCAAAAAAGAATGTTTAGCAGTATTTGCAGAATTCAATTTCAAAAATTTTTCATTGAACTATTTTTTAAAGTTTTAAAACATGCAACAGATGATCTAGAGTGTTAGTGAGTGCGGATGGAGGTACAGGCGAATCACATATCAACACCTATCCTCATTATTTCCTGTTATGGCTGACACTTGTACTGATGTGAAACGCTTTTTACTCAATCACCCATTGTACTATAGATCTGCTCCTAACTCTGGTAACAATTACAAGAAGTCAAACTTCAGTTCTCTGTCCCAATGTTTTCTGCTTTAGTAGTTCTACCATCTTAAGAGTGATGGAGGACAATAATAGTAGAACTCGTTTCTCAACGCAATACTAATTGATTTGGTTCGAGCCAAAGTGAGTTAGACCTTCAGCCTAGCCGTCTTTTTTTCCGATTAGCTTTGTCCTCTAGTATGTATAATGCATGGCAAGAACAATGTGTCAATAGAATTAGACCATTCAATTCATTTAACACATATGAATTCTGTGAGTGATGGTGTCTCTATGTCGTTTATCTTTATTATACCTGAACAGACAATTTCTAAAACGAATCTCAGGCTCAGTATTACAATGACCAGAGACAACCGTACACGGCCAATAACGACGTTGTAAATTATCCGGAAACACGTTTAAATATCTTTTTTACTACAATCCAATCAATTGTATTGAAATTCACCTAATTTTCGGGTTTCCAAAAAAAATGATCTAAAAGCCCTTTAACGGTACTAAAAGGCCCTTAAAGGTTCTAGAACGACTTGCAAGGCCTTCTTCGTAAAATTCCATTTTTCTGCAATGGAATCATCTCATATAAAGATGTAACTTACTTAAAAGCTTTAAAATTGCCTTTTTCTATAAGAATCTATGTATTTGAATGAAAAGATCACCTTATTTACAAAGTCTCGAGAAAAAAACTCTTAAAGACTTTTTTTCTTCAAAAAACCCATACTTTTGCATACAGGCTAACTAAATCAAAGCCGTTGCTTATTAAAAGTTTTTACAGTTCGTTTTTCTATAAGCATACATACTACAGAGTTGGGAGTCAGTTGATTTAAAGATTTAAAGGAAAATGGCTACAAAAACTTTGAAACAAAGATCATACACTGTCCCAGGTGATTCAATCCGACCTGTAGATCCTACCGGAAACTATCGGATCCGATGTCGGATCACACCGGAATTCGTCGGGTTCTCAACTAAATCCGATCGGAGCCCAACCGTATTTCACAGGATTCCTAACTAACGGATTCCGGACCGGATTACGTCGGAAAGGATCCGATCGGATCCTGTCGGAACCGTTTGTCAGATAATGCCCTAACCACCAGGATCCTTTCACAGAGAAACGCCTGATAACGTAAGGCTCCGACAGAATACAGTCGGATTTCATCAGAAGTTGGCTCAATCTTTTTCGATTGCACAAGGATTCAATCAACATTTCACACAGATTTCATTCTAGCATTCTCAAAATTTCCAAGGATTTCATCAAGATTTATAAATGCTAGTCCACGATTGCATCCAGATTTCTGAAGATTTCCTAAGGATTTCATCAAGATTTCTCAAGATTTCTCAAGGATTTCATCGAGATTTCTGAAGATTTTCCCAGGATTTCATTCAGATTTCTGAAGATTTCCTAAGGATTTCACCAAGATTTATAAATATTTCTCAAGGATTTCGACGAGATTTCTGAAAATTTCACGAAGATTTTTCAAGGATTTCATCAAGAATTCTAAAGATTTTCCAAAGATTGAATCGACATTTTGAACAGATTTCACCAGGATGTTATCAAAATTTCTAAAGATTGCATCAGGATGTCATCAAGAGTCTAAAGGATGTCAACTGTTTCAACTGGGATTATTCCTAGAATCCAACAATGTATATACTACGATCCTTCTTAAAATTGAACAATGCTTGTACTACGATTGTTCCTAATATATATAACTTAGTTATACAAAATGGCCGAATTCCCTCGATGTATGAAAGTAGAGAGTTCCTTATATAGATCGATACCTGTAAAACAAAACGGTGAATGAAATCTGGACAAAATTGGATTACCAGATTTTTGATTTTGTTGTTGGAAATTTGCAAAAATAGGAATATCTAATCGATTCATTAGCTCATTGATCCGTCAGAATATATTCTTATTCAAGAATCCGATTGCGTGCAAAACAGAATTGTAATAGGAAAAAAAATCATTTGAAATAAAATTAATCTGAGCAACACTTTGGAAATTCATTCGAAATATTAAAGTAGAGAGTTCCTTATATAGATCGATACCTGTAAAACAAAACGGTGAATGAAATCTGGACAAAATCGGATTTCCAGATTTTTGATTTTGCTGTTGGAAATTTGTAAAAAGAGAAATATCTTATTAGATGATTAGCTGATTGATCTGTCAGAATATATTCTAATTCATGAATCCGACTACGTGGAAAATAATACTGGATACTCAGAACGAGCAATCCGACAGTCGGATCTCGTCGGATCCTATCGGAAAAATTATCGAATTTTATCGAATCCGATGGCAATTCGTCGGAATCCTTGGTATCGGATTCCGACAGGAAGTTGTCGGATGTCGGAAAGTGTCGGAAGTGGCCGGGATCTTGTCGGAACTCTGAAAATCCGCCACTTTCCAACATCCGACAACTTCCGACTAATTTCCATCAGATCCGATGGTGTGAGATCGGCTTGGGTATTCTGCATTCGTATATAATCCGACAAGTTCCGATACCAGTGATTGATCGGTTTTATCATGGAATCCGGTGTCACTTGAAACCGCAAAATCCGGCGATTTCTTGACATCAGATTCCCCGGAATTCCATCGGAAGCGAACAGATCTTGAGATCGGATCTGACCAGTTCCGAATATATGAATCTAGTCGGAACTCGATGAATCCGACCGGCGGATATCAAAAGGAAAACAGTGGATAGCATCGGAATCCGGCAAAAAGTAACCGACCGAATCCGATTAGCCGTATCTCAACGGATTTGAAACCTATCCGACAGGATCCGACATAGCTATTTCGACCTGGGGTGGGCACTTAAGAAAAGCACACAGGACAGTATAATCGAAAAACAAAGCTTTAATTCAATGTGATCTATGAAGAGATTTGTGACGTTTGCGCTCCGGTTTTGGCGTGCTTCATAACTGATAAATTACAGTTCTTGTGCACGTCCAGATAGAACTGGCCGTTTTTGATATATGCTCATCATTGTCCAAAATACTCAAAATAAATATTCTTAAACGCCTTTTCTGAGAAAAAAAGTGACTGAAGGTCGTTTTATGACGATGCATGCATAGAAGGCCTGAAAAGCATCAATCCCATACATATGGATGACATGT